GCCATTTTTGTAAAAAGATGGTATTGAGAGTGGCCCTGAACTCATTAGGAGTGAGGTGCAGTAGCTCGTTCACAGGGGATGAGCTACTGCCTGCCCATAGCTCTAACACATTCCTCCCTTCTCCACCATGTTCAGTGTTTCGCAGGAAGAGAGTTTAACACAACTTTCCTCCCCGTCTCACTGTCTACCATACCCTTCTGTCAGCACCTCTCCCAGCCCAGGAGGTCAGGTGTGCAGTCCAGGAGAGAATCCCTTCAGTGGCCAAGTGTGGTGTGTTCTTTCCTCCCCACGTAACCAGGTTAAGCTCACACCACGGCTAAAAGTACATTTGATCACTGTTTGCAAAAATGACGCACTACTTTTTACGTTTTAAGAAATTTTTTCCTCTTCCTTTCTTACTAGTAATTCCACTTGGATGGATTTTAGCTCCCTATATAAAACTTTCAATAGATGCTGGAAAGCCATACTGATTTTTTAAAATTAGAAGGTTAGGAATCAAAGATCCTTTTTTATAACAAAAGCCAAAGATGTTTTAAAAATTAGCTGGCAGTGCCATCCTGAGTAGACAGTAGTGACATCTCATCGAAGGCGGGACTCTCTGTACCTGCCGTACAGGTGCGAGACGATGACAAAAATGCAACAGAAGTATGCACAGTGGGAGACAGCTCTGTGTTCTGAGGGTGCAGTTGTCTTCCTTGAATATCCAGTACAATCATGTGAAAAGTGATTTGAGTTTCGAAAAGCTGGTTATAGAATAATGTATCAAACGTTCTAACACCAATTCAAAAATATAATGTTAAAAAGCTCCTACTCAAAGAATTAGGAAATAAAGCCAAGGTAACTTCTTGAAGGAATATGAAAGAACAATTTAGGAAAAAAAATGTAAAATTCTAAAATATGAAATTTGGAAATCCATGTAGAATTCTGAATGAGACTTGAACATTGTGGTAGTATTAGCTCTTTCTAGTTTATAGATTTACTTGCAGTTATGATTACAATCCCAGATACTATTGTTTTTTAAAAATATTTTTTAAAATTTCTGAGAGTGTAAGGGAGAGATAGAAACATCCATGTGTGCAGCATTGATTGCCTGCTTCCTGCACGCCCCCTACTGCAAATCAAGCCTGCAGCCCAGACATGTGCCCTGCCTGGGAATGGAACGGGGACCTCTCAGTCATGGGGTGACACTCAGTCCACTGAGTCACACCGGCTGTTTTTAACTTGGGAAAAAAAATTTTTCAGAAATTTTGTAGTACTTGGGCTAAAATAGGTTTTGGGGAAAAAAGATTAAAACCTATTATACCAAATATGAACAAATATTGTAAGACTACAAAAATCAAAATAGTATGGTACTGACTGGTGTGGAGCTCAATAGATCAGTAGGCTAGAATGTGTAACCTAGAAACAAATTATATATAAGGAAAAGCAGCCTCAAATTAGGGGAGAGAGGGTATATTAGTCAATAATGCTGGGACAATTAGTTTATTATGTGGTTAAAAAATAGCAAGTTTCCTCACATCTCCCCTATATCAAAGTTAATTAGATAGGTTACAGTTAATCTGACAAATGAAACAAGTAAGTTAGCAGACATTTGACCAAATTAATGTATCAGCTCTCCAAACTTCCTATGTAAAACACCAAGGGAGGAAACCATAAAGAAAAAGATTTAGAGATTTGATCTTCCTATAAATGCTAAATGTAATTCAACAGTTCCTGTCAAATGTCTCTTAATTTAAAATCGGATTAAGTGTTGACAAAGGACCAGTTTCCTTGACTTTACACCAGTGTACTCTTTACACCAATATGGAAAAGATAACCAACCCAATCCCAATAGAAAAAAAGGGGGGGGGAGGGGCTAAGGATATCAACAGACAGTTTTCAGGAAAAGAAATATAAAGAACAATAGACATTTGTCAAGATGTTCAACCTGACTTCTATTCAAGGGACACAAATCAAAATAACAGTAAAATATTGCTACCCATCAAATTGATTAGAAGTCAAATGTTGGGTCCCTAGTGCTTGAAAGGTTGAGAGTACTTCTCAGTCCTTCAATGGGAGTGTAAATTGGCTTATCCTTTGGGGAGGGAAATTTGGCTTTAACTACCTAGAAAAATCTTTTGTAATTTACTTATCTGATCCCAGCAATATCACTGGTAGGAATATGTACATAATAAGTTCACCAAGATTTGTGTGCAAGAATGTTCATAATACAAGATTTAGTAGAGGTAAAGAAGGACACAAGATTATGTGTTCGTGTGTGTGTTGTGTGTGTGTGTGTGTGTGTGTAACCTGGAAGAATTCAACACAAAAGAATAACCAATTTTTTCTCTAAGGGACTGAAATCAGATTATTTCTTCTCCTCCTGCATTTATTAAATTTCATGTAATTAGCAGGTGATACATAATTAGAAAAAAATTAAACACTGCTTTCAAACAATACCAATTTCCAGCACTTGGAGAGTACCTAGCTCTACATGCCACCCCTCAGGGCTTCCCCTGGGAACAGCTAAGGAATGGGTGCCCTTGTGGGCCTTCCTCCCCTTCCCCCTCTTGCATGGTCACTTGCCAGACTCCCCGTTCTTCCTAGAAATACTACCTTAGTGCTTCCTAGCACTAAGTGCTTTGAGGAGCCCAGGCGTGGAGGCAGGGGGGCTGGGCAGCCTCTCCTGAGATGTTAGCAGTGCCAAGAAATTAGACACCAAGATGGAGGACACCAAGAACAGAGGCGGTGGCCTCCAGGAGTGGCCCGCCCCAGGGTCCAGTGCTCCCTAGGATTCACCCTGCTTGGAAGGAGACCTTCATTTCTTTAGTTTTCATATGGAAAGTTTTGGTTGTGTTCTGAATACTGCTGAGTAATTTAACTCCTTGTTTTATTCTTTCAGGTTGCTGAAGCACACGTGCCTAATTTCATTTTTGATGAGTTCAGAACAGTCCTGTAACTTTTTCTTCTTCTACTTCTTTGATAAAAGGGTCGTCCCTAAATCTTCCCACCATCACGAAAATGAAGAGGATGAAACTCAACTACTCATGTAACTGCATGTTTCCCTTTATTGTGGGAAACATCAGACATTCTGAATAAGATGTGTCTCATGGAACTAGATAATAGAATGTTTAAATCATGGCGTTATACACACTTTGTATCATGTAGAAGCAGAACACATTTTGTACTGCCTCTTACAAATGCTTAGTTTTATGTTCTAAAGAACTATTTGTGCAACTCCAGATTTTCAGTAAAGTATTGCCAGTACCCAAAGTCATCCTTCTGCCTATTCAAAAATTATATATTCACTGTGCAAAAAACCTTGTCTGAAAGGTACGAGATGAACGAGGTCGGTCCCTTGGACACACACACGGAAGGCTGGCAGACTTGTGGTGGCAGACTCAGCAGCAAATGTAGTGACCACGTAATCTGGACTGCAGACCATGGCAGTTTCTTGGTGTCCGAAACTCACCGTCCTCTTCCAATCCCAGATACCCTCAGGGGTTTCCAGCACCTTCTGTGGGGCTCCCCAACTTCAGCTGCTCCTTCCACCCTTGCCTTCCTCAGCAGGCCCTGACCCTGCCCTCCTCCCAAATCCCCACAGTGCTTAGCCCATAAGCCCTTTTTCTCTTGGTTAACAGCTTAACCACTAGTTTTTAACTCCCCACCCCCCAAATCCTAAATCATTTCTGCCATCCCATTACGGCAACTGGAAACGAGCAATAAAGATAGTTTAGCCCTAACCCAACTATGTCCCCTCTGGAGAGGAGAGGAACAAGCTAAAAAAAATGAAATGTGTCAACAGTCATTTAGCAAGTTGCAGGGGAATAAGCACTGATTTGTTCTCAGGAGGCAAAGTCTGAGGCCTGGTTCTGCGACCAGCTAAACTTTGTCCCAAGGTATCCTGTTAGCATCGTCTGTAAAATCAGGGCTAAAGGACTTCTTGGGTTCCTTTCAGTTTTCTGATTTTACGACAAGGTATTTGTCAAAAAGCCTCAAATCCTAAGATATTGAAAGAAGTATCTTAGGATTTTGATTATTCCACCATCATAGTAGAAAAGGTTTGAAGAGGCATCTAGTCTGCAGAGGGAGCAGCAGCCTCACGGCGCCTGGTGGAGGCCTGGTAGATCTTTCAAAGCCAGCTGGCTGTTGCCTGCAGGTAAGGCACTGGGAGTCTGTGCCTGGAAAGAGCTAGTCTCATAGCCATCCTACCTCCGCTTCTCAAAGTATGTTGGTTTTCCATTTGTAGACCGGTAACGGTAGCCATGTGAAATGAGTTCACTGTGGAAATGGCCCCCCAAAGAAAGCCAGCTGCTAAACAGGCCCGATCTCAGAGTTTTTAAACAGAAAACAGAACTTTTGGAAACCAAGAGAATGAGCCTGCCAGACACAGCTAAACCAAGGCTGATGGGGACACCTGCTTCCACTAGTGATTTGGCCAGAGAAAAACTTTCTCAGCCAAAGAACTTAAAAGCTAGAGAAACTTTTATTAAACGCTTGCAAATTATTTTAGTCCTAATCATTAGAATCTAGTTATTTAATAGTCCAGGTTATATTTTACTGTTCTGATTTCTGGGGGAGAATTTACTTGAATGATAGTGGGATTTATTTACTAAAGTCTCATGATACCCTCTGAGTGTCTGTAATCTTTCAAATGTACTGTAAACGTGATAAAATCTAGTTGACTGTATGGCATTATGCCAGGTATTACAGTGCTTTCTGTTGGTTCACTGTTGCTTGAAACTGGTAGCCCGGCTTATTCACACTCCACAGAGGGACTTACAAAGCCCCTGATTGCTGTCCTGTCTGAATGTTTGTTCTTTTCAAAGAACTCAGAAAAGAACCTTATCAAACTGCCTGCCTGGATACATGAGGGAAGCTAGGTCAGAGATTTAAGGCAACTTCCCCCGCGTCAGCGTCAGAACAGGTTTCCCTCTGCATTTTGCACCCCGCGGTGGCCTTTTCCATTACCCTGAAGCTACAGAAAGAAGTTCACAGCAAGAAACAAAAAGACCTGAGGGTTCATTCTTCATTTTATTTATATGTCCCACGATAACTCATTCCCAAATACTGAATTTAAAAGAAAAACTTCTCAGTATTAGTTTTAGCACTAATTTATGGTAACAATCATTTCTTTTAAACTATCTTATTTGACCCTTCATTTTAAACTGCAAATTAAAGTATATACACGTTTATATACAAATAACTTCAAAAACAAATTAATCCCCATCTTGGTCCAAGAGTTTCCACTTTGGAAGCAGTACAGTGCTATGCTGCATGACTCCTCGTCCGGAAGTCTCTCAGCTTTGGTGAGTCCAAATATTCATTCACAAATGGTCCCCTTCTAAGCTTAATGAATCAAGTACTTCATTTCTGAGTAAATCAGAGGGAATATCACAGAACACGCTTTGTACAATACAGCACCACTACTGAAAATGGCTCGGGGTTTCGTAATCCAAGGCTCCGATTTAAAGCAAAAATATGTGGCATAGACCGCAACCGCAAAGAAGTGTCCGATTAAACAGAGAGGGTTGGGAGACAGCCTGTAATAGAAAAAAACAAATATTCATAAGACCAAGAAATCAAATTTACTATAAAAATTTTCAATTATGTGTATTATCTATAAAGCTAAATACATTCTACATTTTAAAGGACTTTATAAGCTTGTGTCTGTCTACTAAGTTTGATGGCAGGGACAACATTTTTAAAAATATGTTTACAAGAAACTACTTGGGATTAAAAAAAAAAAAAAAAATGGGAAGATGGCGGTGGGCAGGACCAGAGGGAGGGTGAGTGTGTGAGAGAGTGAGCGAGTGTGTGAGGGTGTGAGTGGACGTGAAGGTGGACGACCAAACCCGAGCAGTGCAGAGCCGGGAGCAGAAGGTCCCTGTGCTGTGAACGGAGCAGCCGGCTACGGTAGTGAGCAGCCCTTCAGGGTGCTTCTCCCTGCGCCGTGGGGAGGTCCCACCATTCTGGAAGATCCCGGGTCTGCCCTGGGAGGAGGCAGTGGGAGCGGCTAGGGCCCAGCAACCTGAGCCCACCAGTGCACCTGGCACCATCGGACCAGTGGACACTCTATGTCAACACAGACCTGTGCACAGTAGTGGAGCTGCCAAGGTGCCAGTCGCAGAAGCCGCAGACAGCTGGGAGCCCAGCACCATCCCCCACAGTAGCAGCCCTATCAGAGTCCTGATATACCCCCAGCAACAGGCTGGGGAGCAGACATCCATCCCCAGGCAACAGAATCACAGACCAGCAGCGGAGACCCATCCTCAAAACCACAGCAAAAGCTGAGCAGGAGCTGAGCCCCACGTACAGCAGCACTCCCCGGCCACCAGCAGCAGGACCTGGGGCTCCACAGAGGCCTGTGCGGTCCAGCAGCCCACAAGAGCAATGGGAAGCCGGAGCCCGAGAGAGACTAGTGCAATCCAGCTGCCCACGCGCAGGACCTGCAGGGTTGGTGGCACCAGAGTGGCCTGTGTGACCCAGCAGGGACTGTGCAATCCAGATGCCCACGGGACCTGCGGGGTGCTGAAGCACCAGAGAGGCCTGTGTGACCCAGTTACCTGTGGGACCTGCAGGGTATGGGGTCACCAGAGAGGCCTGTGCGACCCAACTATACACAAGATAAGCTTGGAGGATGTGAAAATGGATGTGGAGTGAATGGAAGCTACACAGACATCTCCCAGGACCAAACAGGAATTACAACTAAAATAAAGACAAATCCTCGGAAAAAAGCAACAGAAAAGCAGCAGAACAGGACCATATAACCAGGGACACTGGTAGGATCTGCGGAGACGCAAGAGGGTGGCGAGCTGGGAGCCCACGGACAGCAGTAGTCTTAGCTGTGAGCAGCACCCTTAGGGATTAAAGACCAAGCCCGCTCCACAGTGCAGAGAGCTGGGATGGAGTGCTAAAAGAGCCACAGCCACTCACCTGGGGGCTACGGCAGAGGGAGGGCAGATTGGGCTGGAACTCTTTGGGGACACCTGGGATTTGGAGGGCAATCAGAGTTTTTGCGGAGTTGCAGCCACAAAGGACGGTGGCCAGTATGCTCCTTCCCCAAGCTGTGGGGAAAAGCAGCAGCCCCACCTCCCACGGAGAGTCAGCCTTTCCAGGTGAGGCAAAGAAATGCAAATTGAGGCTCATTAACAACCAGCATTTATCCCACTCTCTGGAAATCCTCTTATGCAGAACACCAGGGCTACATTCCAAGGCCCTGAGTAACTGAGACTACTAGCCTCCAGGAAAAAGCTAGAGGATAACTGAACCTTTCTTGGACTTGCAGATCTGCCCAGGAAAGTTAGATTTGACAGTGCTGTTTAACGTGGGCCCGCCCAGGCCCTTCCAAACCCAGTAGAGGGAGCCACAAAGAGCAGAACACCAACACCCACAGGGAAAATTTGGCAGGCTCCAAAACACACTGAGATAGCCAAAATGGTGAAACAAAGAAACAAATCCCAAATGAAAGAACAAGAGAACTCTATTGAAGATGAGATAAATGAAATGCAGTTAAGCAAATTATCACAGGTAGAGTTCAGAGCCATGATCTTGAGGAAGCTCAACAGCAGGAGTAAGGACATTAGCACCATGAGTAAAGATACAGAAACATTGAAAACAACCAAGTGGAAATGAAGAATGACATAGCAGAAATAAAGAACACATTGGAAGGACTAACCAGCAGAGTAGAGGAACCTGAGGACCGGATCAGTGAATTAGAAGACAGGGTAGAAAAAAATCAACCAATCAGCAAACCAAAAGGAAAAAACTAAAAAACAGGAAGATAGCTTAAGAGAACTGTGGGACAACTGGAAACGCAATAATATTCGCATCATAGGAGTCCCCGAAGAAGAAGAAAATGGGCAAGGGTTAGAGAATATATTTAAAGAAATAGTGACAGAAAACTTTCCTAACTTGGTGAAGGAAGAAGGCATTCAAGTTCAAGAAGCATACAGAGACCCAACTAAGAAGAACCCAAACAGGCCCACACAGGACACATAGTAATTAAAATGCCAAAAATTAAAGACAAAGAGAGAATCCTAAAGGCAGCAAGAGATAAGCAACAGGTGACCTACAAAGGAAACCACATAAGGCTCTCAGCTGACTTCTCAACAGAAACACTACAGGCCAGAAGGGAATGGCACGAAGTAATCAAGGTCATGAAAAACAAGGATCTGAATCCAAGACTACTCTATCCAGCAAGGCTATCATTCAAAATAGAAGGTCAAATAGCTTCCCAGACAAAAAAAAAGATTAAGGAAATATATTAACACCAAACCAACACTGCAACATATGCTAAAAGGACTGCTATAATTAGAAGAAATAGAAAGAAAAATATAACCACAATAAACAAAAATGGCAATAAATAAGTAAATATCAATTATCACCTTAAATGTGAATGGTTTGAATGCTCCAATAAAAAGACAAAGAATAGTTGACTGGACAAGAAAGCATGACTCACATATATGTTGTTTACAAGAGACCCACTCACAACAAAAGACTCACATAGGTTGAAAGTGAAGGGATGGAAAAAAATCTTTCAAGCAAACGGAAAAGAAAAAAAAACTGGGGTAGCAATACTCATATCTGATAACGCAGATTTCAAAAATAAAGACCATAACTAGAGACAAGGCTACTACATAATATTGAAAGGATCTATCCAACAGGATATAACCTTGGTAAACATATATGCACCCAATATAGGAGCACCAACATATATTAAAAACCTTCTAGAGGACTTCAAAGAAGAAATCAACAGCAATACAATCATAGCAGGGTACTTCAATACCCCGCTGACACCACTGGATAGATCCTCTAGACAAAAAATTAGCAAGGAAACAGAGACTCTAAATGAAACACTAAACCAAATGGATTTAATAGATATCTACAGAGAATTACACGCCAAAACAGCAGAATTCACATTCTTCTCAAGTGCACATGGGACATTCTCAAAGATAGACCACATGTTAGGACACAAACTAAGTCTCTACAAGTTCAAGAAGATTGAAATCATATCAAGCATCTTCTCAGATCACAATGGCGTGCAACTAGAAATCAACTGCAACAAGAACATGCAGAGACATTTGAAAGCATGGAGGCTAAATAGCATGTTATTGAACAATGAATGGTTTACCATGGAGATCAAGGAAGAAATTAAAAACTTCCTGGAAACCAATGAAAATGAACACACAACACAAAATCTATGGGATGCAGCAAAAGCAGTTCTGAGAGGAAAGTTTATAGCACTACAGGCTTACCTCAAGAAACAAGAAAAATTTCTAATTGACTGTCTAACCTCACAACTTAAAGAACTAGAAAGCAAACAAAAAGAAAACCCCAGAGCAAGTAGAAGGAAGGAAATAGTAAAGATCAGAGCAGAAATAAATGACATGGAGACCAAAAACTCAATTCAAAGGATCAATGAAACAAAGAGCTGGTTGCCTCCCGCACATGCCCTGACCGCGGCTGGGTATCAAACTTGCAAACCAGGTATGTGCCCTTGAACTGAAATCAAACCCAAAACCCTTCGATACGAGGGCTGACACTCTAACTACTGAGCCACACTGGCCAGGGCAATCAACAACTAATCAATACTGTTTCCCAGAAATAAAACACAGGACGAAATGTTGCCTTTTCTCATTTCTCTGGGCAACCTTCTGACTTGCATACTGATGGATAATACAATGACAAAATATATAAGGAAGAAAAATCTGCAGCAGTTAATAAATTGAACAATCCTAAGAAAATCTGGAATGTTTCCTTTGTGTCATCAAAATAACTTACACAGAAAGCAGCCCAACAGGACCAGCAATGCATTCTCCACCAAGTTTGAAATACAAAAAACAGGCTTTTCTTAGTTGATGTAGTGAATCTAAAATAAAATTTAAAAATTAGTCTCAATCAAGTTATTTCCACATTTATGTTAGGGTGCTAATGATGCATCAGAAAAAATGAAGATGTAACAAATATCAAATTTATAATTTTTTAAAAATCTAGTCCTGGAATTTCAACCCAAGATTTCCTTTACATTCCACAATCAATATTATGGATAATGATACACTTATGGATAAACTTTTCTGTTAATAAATAATGACTATACCAAAAATGTAGGTCCCAAAAGTTAGAGTTGTTTAAATTTTCCTTGATTGTGTTATAAATTCAGTCAATGATGTAAAATATTCTGTAAACTCTTTGTAATAAAATCACAATTCTGGAAACCAAATACCTTATCTGAGATGCCCAACCCATGCCTTTGAGCAGTAAATTATCAAGAAAAATAAAAAAGCTATGAATAATAAAAAATAATACCTTATATCTATAGTTTGTTACACTTTCCAAAGTAACTCATTAAATCCTCACAATGTAGTATTATCAACGTATAACATATTTTAATAGTTTAGAATTAGTGTTCTTTTCAGGTCTGCCTAGATTTTTCTTTACAACCAATAAAATGGGATGCAGGAGGTAAACTTGTACTCCAATGCTCTTTACTCCTCCAATCTTTCATAATTTTTTGTTTTGTTTTATTGACAGATTCAAATTCGTAACGTAAGAAACTTAACAGCTTCGAAAAGCTTGAAAGAACTTCAAAAATCTCAAAACTAAGTTCTTTTCTTTTTACTTGCACAACCAGCCATTTAGCAAGACAGATCTGTGTGACAAGTCACCAGCAACGAGTTGTTTTTCTTCTAGCAAGACTGATGGGTACAGAGGCTATAGAAAGCATGTGTACTGTATCATCCTTTGTAAGCAGATCACCAAACCACAGATCATCACTAAGGCCTCAGCCAGGTCATAGAAGCAGTGTTTTTGTGAATATCTGAAGTAATTGGATTTGTTATATTTATTCTTGAAAACCTAAAGGTCTAGTTTCATTAACGGATTTGTACCCTGCTGTGGCTGGGAAGCTGCACTGTTGCCTTTTCCTCCACTTCTAACACTGCTTCTGCTGAGTCATGTTTTCCTTCATATATATAAACTGACCACCTCTCTACAATGAATATGGAAACAAAACAAAAGCATGGGAAAGTTTCAAATGAGCAAAAGGTGGATGCATTCTGCTACTAGTGCATTTAGCAGGGGACACAAATCTAAACATGACTTGAAGCTCACACTCATTTCATAAAATTCTACTTTGAGAAGAAATAGAAACTAGTGTTTGGGAAGAAAAAGATGAACAATTATATTGACTTTTAATTCATGGCCACCAAGATCCTCCATCACAATCATGCATCTGAGGATATGCAGGATCTGGTTTGGACAAAAGGAATTAAAAATAATACATTATTGAGGTATTGCTTTTAAGGTTGGTAGGGGAAGACAGCAGCCATGTCTAACAAAGATATGATGATGTTGAAGATGGAGTTAAAAATGACTACCAACCTGAGAGCAAACTCAGGAAACATTTCTGTTTCCAGCCTAATCACTAAGTTCTTTTATAATTAAGTTCTGTTCCTCTGCTAAAAGTTTGCAATTCAATAATATTTATTTTAAAATATCTGCACTTACCATCTGTTCCAGAGAATAATTCATAAAGAGCCTGAGCAAGGATATTCACAACAAAGGAATGAGACATTTTTCTTGACCAATAGAATGATTTTTTGGCCTAAAAAAGAAAAAGATCACTTATTATATGGTAAAGAGGAAAAAGAAAAACAGCACCAACTGATGTTTAAAGTCCCTTCAAACTGATTATGTATCTTGAGGTCCATGCACAAGAAATTATACCTGGTCAGTAAACAACAACACTTCAGAGCAATGAGTTATGAAGCAATGAATGACTCTGAAGCTCAATTTACAATCACTATGAGCAAAGTGGCCTGTACAATCCAGTGTTACCTAATACTCAAATAGAGAAATTGAGAAATTCTCTTAAGATCCAAAGGTTGCAAGTCAGATTCTTTAAGTCTGCATAGGATTGCCCAAGAACGCTTAAGTATCAGGTTCCTAAGTGTAGATCTCCCAATCAAGGCCCCACTTCTCTTAGGCCTCACAAAGAAATCTATTTTGAGACATTTTTTATCAGAATAATTTAATATCTTACCTGGAAAACAGCTGCATCATCATAAAGGTCAGGGATGCCCTTTAGCAATTTTCTCCATAGTTTTATATCTTTAAAAGCAACAGTCATTCCTCCTCCAGTAAGAGGATGCCTTATATTATATGCATCTCCCAAAAGAAGAACACCTATAGAGAGAGAATTTTATGACATCATCCTGGAGTATCACTTGAGACCAAAAAAAAAAAGGACTATGTTAATTTATAAATATTACTGATGTGAGTTAGTAAATAATAATGTGAAAATACAAGGGAACAGATCATGACTAAACTTGGGGCAAAAATTGAAGAGTTGATTCAATCAGTAGCTATTGGGCACCTAATATGTGACAGATTCTGGGAATATGGTGAGAGAAAGGACTACGGTCCCTGCCCTACCGAAACCCACATGCGAATCTCATGTTAAACACTGTCAAAACATTTATAAGGCCTGTTTCATGGGGGAAAAAAAAAAATGAAAAGAATCTCAGGTATCCAGGCATAAAAAGCAAGTGTTCTAACAAAGGAAAGAACTCAAGAGGTCTTGAACACTTCACAGCAATATTCATGCCAACACACTACCGAGAAATGTTTGTGCACTTCTAAGGAAAGAAAGGAAGACCCATGAGGATTAGACCCAGCAGGCAGATATTCTCAAAACCATCCAAAGTTAATTTAGGAGAATAAACCTTGATTAAATCTTATCTGAAAATTAGCCCCTTGAATCACAGCTAAGCAGGAAGCGCACCTCCTGACTGTGCTGCCTGACTCTACCTGGTCCTTGTCAGAATCATGGATAATTGTTATGAAACAGTAACTACAGATATCATAAAGCTAGTTTTGGTATTAGTAATGCATTAATTCATAGTAACCAATTCTCTGGACCACGTTATTTCCAGCAGCATACATTTAACCATGTATATGTCATTTGGAATACTGAATTTAAATATTTGGATTACCCTTTATAAAATAAGTCCAATAAAATAATACCTCGTTTGTTTACTGGTGAAGGAGGAAGGAAACTTGCTGGCATAGACCTCAAACGAGAATTCTGAGTGGCTTCTAGGAATGGTTCTTTCAAGTGATCTGCAATAAATCCCACCCCACCAAATAAATAGTTGATAACATTTCATATCATACCACATTTTCTTATCAAGTATAAAGAAATACCTACTATACATCGTTATGGCTGTTACATATATCCCTTGCGATAAATCAAGAGCAAATTATTTTATTACTAAAACTTTATTAATCATTTAGTTACTTATGCTAAGGAATGACTAAGGAATCTAGGAAAAAATTAATGTAAAAAGACATACAGCTAAATAAATAAAAATCTGATGAAAAGTGAAGCAAATTCAGGTGACATGAGTTAGGGAGAAAACCACCCACCTCTCCTCCAAATGTTAACTGACAGCTGTCATATTTAATAATATATTGTCACCACCACATTCTGATAGTACCAGATGAAATATACTACCATATCACAAATAGTAGAAGGGTATATACACCAGGAAAAGGATAATATACAGAGAGCTTCACCTTTCTGAATTTTAGCTTCATCATCTATAAAATGAGACGGTTGGATTAGATTCTCTCTAATATACTTTGTGCTTCTACTCATAGAAAACGAACTTTCTTTTCATACAGCTCCTCATGTACTCTGGAAGCAGAATGCCTATGTCGAAACCCTCTATTTCCATAAGGAGAATTTCAGTAATCTAATACTAATATAAACCTACAGCCCTGGACAGTTTTGCTCAGTGGTTAGAGCGTCGGCCTGCAGTCTGGAGAGACCCGGGTTCAGTTCACACTAGGGGCACATACCTCAGTTGCAGTTTGTCCCCGGCCCTGGTTGGGTCGTGTGGGTGGCAACCACTCAATGTGTCCCTTTCACGTTGATGTTTCTCTCTCTCTCCTTCCCACTCTATCTGAAAAAAATATCGAAAAATGTCCTTGGATGAGGATGAAAAAAAAGAATAAACCTACAAATCGTTTCTCTCCACGATCTCAGGGTAGAATGGTCCAATTAACCTCTGGAATGGAAAAAAACAATCTACAGTTAAAGAAAAAAATGCACCTGATTGGTGTGGCTCAAGGTGTGGATCAGTCCCAGTTCAATTCCCGGTCAGGGCACATTCTCAGGTTGTGGGCTCGAGCCCCAATAGGGGGTGTGCAGGAGGCAGCCAATCGATGTATCTCTCTCACATAGATGTTTCTATCTCCCTTCCTCTCTTTCTAAAAAATCAATAAAAACATTTAAAAAGAAAAGAAAAAAATGCTAAAAATATCAGGTAATTGACACTCTTTTTCCTAAATATGCATAACTAATTTTCCCATGGAAAGCTTTCAAAATGGCTTAACTAAGTGAAAATGTAGTAAAATGTCAAAATTGTCATTATTAACAATCTAAGTTACTTCATTCACTTCATTTCTGTTAATATTGTTAGTTATTAAACAGAGTGCTTTCACTTAATTTAAAAAAATAACTTGAGCCCGGCCAGTGTGGCTCAGTGGTTGAGCGTCAACCCGTGCACCAAGAGGTCGTCGGTTCTATTCCTGGTCAGGGCACATGCCCAGGTTGTGGGCCCAATCCCCAGTGGGGGGCATGCAGGAGGTAGCCAATGTTTCTATCTCTCTCTTCCTCTCCTTTCCCCTCTCTAAAAATCGATAAAGAAAAAAATTTTAAATAAATAAATAAATAACATGAACCCTGGCCAGTTTGGCTAAGCAGACCAGAGTCGTGGGTTCGATTCCGGTCAAGGGCATGTACCTCAGTTGCAGTTTGATGCCCGGCCCTGGTCGGGTCATGCAGGAGGCAACCAACTAATGTCTCTCTCACATCAATGTTTCTCTCTCTCTCTCTGGCTCTCTCTCTCCCTCCTCCTTCCCATTCTATCTGTGGAAAAAAAAAAATCAATGGAAAAATATCCTCAGATGAGGATTAAAAAATAATAATAATAACTTGGAAAAAACAGTATTTAAATAATATGTACTCACTCGGTTGCAGTTTGTCCCTGGCCCCGGTTGGGGTTGTGTGAGTGGCAGCCAGTTGATGTGTCTCCCTCACATTGATGTTTCTCTCTCTCTTTTCCTCCCTCTCCCCCTCTTCGCCCTATCTGAAGATAAATGCAAAAAATAAAAAAATAAAAATAATATGTACTCATACAAAGATAGTTTCCTATTATTACAATTGTAATTGGCAAATAGGGCTTTCTTTCCATTTTACCTATATTCTTACACCTTCTCATCCAAAAAATTTAAAAATCCCAGAACATAATTTTTGTGTTTTTACAATGCCTAAAATCTCATGAAACCTTTCTGTATTCACCTCAAAATGAAAATGATCTCTAAGATTCCTTATGGCTCTTGAGCTCTGAGCCACAGGCCTGGTTTCAGCCCTTACTCTGCCACTTACTAGTAGTTTATGCTTGGAGACTAAGTAACCTCTCAGTCGTGGTTCCCTCATCTATACAAGAGGGATGATAAAGATAATACCTACATCACAGGACAGGTGTATAGGTTAAATAAAATTATGCTTGTAAAACACCTCCTATATAGCACACATTCAATAAATGTAGCTATCATTATCACACAACCAAGCTTAAAGTAGTTAAGTATAGAGATATTTTAAGAAATCACAGACCTTAAATTGCTAGCCAGACTACTTTGTAAAAAAAAATTAAAATTTTATCAATATTAATAATCATTCTGAAAACTACGTTTTAATTACTGATATGAAAAAAATATATTGAAACTATTTTTTTTTAATCCTCACCTGAAGATATTTTCATATTTATCTTCAGATAGAGTGGGAAGGAGGGAGGGAGAAACATCAATGAGAGAGAGACACATTGACTGGCTATCAACCGCATGACCCTGGCCAGGGACCAACTGCAACTGAGGTACATACCCTTGACCAAAATCGAACCTGCGACTCATTAGTCTGCGGGCTGACGCTCCAACAACTGAGCCAAACTGGCCAGGTCACTATTCTTTTTTTTTTTTTTAATTTGGAGATTTTCTGAGGTGCTAGCTTAAATAAATAGTTCAGCTCCAGTGTATCTGATTGGATAGATGCATTATTCACCTGCCAATTTTATCTCTGGCCTATTTTAAACACAGCTTTAGTGATAACTGGAGATGAAGAGCCTTTTGTGAGATTTGCTTTCAAACTTAGATTATAATGGGAGTGAAGTCCTATTTCTTACCAGGTAATTGTGGGTAAATTTTTTCAGCCATGTATTCTCTTAAATTCCTTGGCAATTCTCCTTGGACGTCAACAAGTACTCGAGTTTCATTAGGTGAAATCTGGTAGATGAGAACTGGACTCGGATTAATTAAAACAAGTTCAGCATGATTTGCTTTAAATTGTGGTACATTCTAGAAAAAAATAAAATAAAATATTTTAATAATTTTCAAATTTCAAATTGCTTTTATTCTTTTACAATTGCACTCCTATCGTACCTCCATGAGAAGGCCAACAAAATGAGACGAAACAGAAACTTTATTGGAGATCAGGTTTTTCCTAAACTTGGAAAACAGTCCATCTGCAACAACAGTCAATGGAGCATGAAGTTCCTACAACAAAATAAATAATACTCAGCTAAGTGGTTAGAAATACACAGTAAAAGGACCATTCTGTGCATGAACAGATTTAAATGTATTATCCGATAACATTATAGAGGGTATTTGAAGATAATGCTATTGAGGAAGCTGTTATGTGGGTTTAAGTTAATGCATGCCCAATCTTCAGAGATGCTTTGTCTGAGTCCCTGAGGACCACCTTCCTTCGAAGCTCCCTCAGGCAAACATGCAAACCATCTGGGACTAAGCTGTACTTTGATAAACAATTGGGAAAACTACAAAGGAAGCATAGCCCATAGAAGACTGACTCTCATTACAAAGGACTAGCTGAATTCTCTCATTCTAGAATTTCATAACTTCATAAAGTACTTCAATTAGTGGCTAGGACTTAGAAGAATTTTTGTCCACGTGGATGTATGTACATATTTCTATATTTATATTACCTGGCAATCACTGCCATTAGAGTACACTTTCTAGGAGGTGGTGAGCCTAGAGAGCAGCACAGAAGAATCCACAGATTAGTCTTTGACTCTTTTCTTTTACTAGGCCAACATCAGCAGATAGTATTTTCTTCTACTATTTCCTGAGATTCTCTTATTTTTGTCTTTCTTATTTAAACAGCGGTTTATCTTAATCATTTCTTTTATGTTGAATCCTTCCCTTTTTTCCCTTCCAGTTCCCCTCTGCTTCTCCACTCGTATATTTCTTATTCAGTTTTTAATACTATTAATATAGCGGTGTTTGTTTACAGAGTTATTTGTGTAGCATTTTGAGATACACTAAAGACAATGTCTTACAATCTGAAATCCATCCTGTTGCCCAGGGCTTAGAAAGAACTCAATCCATTTCCTGAATAGTAATTTGGTGAGCCTACTTTTTTAAAGGAGTAGGAGAAGCTACCATTTGATATATCTCACCTTGATATCTCCAGTTTCTTTATCCCTGTACTGAACTCCAACCACAGCATCATCTTCTTCTAATAACTGTAGCACAACGCCCTCAATAAACTTTGTACTAAAATATAAACAGAAATAAATTCTATAGTAGCACACTTGAGCAATTTACACAAGGAATCATAAATTCCTCATCACTCATCTCATTTACCCACACAAACTGGACATGCATGTACGTAAAAAAAATTCTGGAATGACAAAAAAGGCAAACACATCATTAATGATTTTTAGAATTATGTGTGATTTTTATTTTCTAATTTTTAAAAATTGACTTTATATTACTAATGTAATGCTTTAAAAAGTATTTTAAAAAGCAACATCAGCCCAGCCGGTGTGGCTCAGTGGTTGAGTGTCAACCCGTGCACCAGGAGGTTGCCTGTTCTATTCCCAGTCAGGGCACAGACCCAGGTTGTGGGCCTGATCCCCAGTGTGGGGCATGCAGGAGGCAGCCAATCGATGTTCTTTCATCAGTGTTTCTATCTCTCCCTCCTCTCCCTTCCTCTCTCTATAAAAATCAGTAAAGGAGCCCTGGCCGGTTTGGCTCAGCGGTTAGAGCGTCGGCCTGCGGTCCTGAGAGACCCGGGTTCGGTTCCCGCTAAGGGCACATACCTCGGTTGCAGTTTGTCCCCGGCCCTGGTCGGTTGTGCGGGTGGCAGCCACTCGATGTGTTCCTTTTGCATCGATGTTTCTCTCTCTCTCTCTGTTCCTCTCTCTCCCTCCCACTCTACCTGAACAAAAAATGGAAAAATGTCCTCGGGTGAGGATAAAAAAAAAAAAAAAAAAAAAAAAATCAGTAAAGGAAAAAAAAAATTTTTTAAAAAGTAACATCAGATTTTTATCTCAATTCATTAAAAATAAAATAAAACACAGGAAAACTTAACATACTCCCAACCAATTCATACATAAATGGGAAAACAGAATTGAAGTTTTTCCAGCAAATTATTCAGAGTGGTTAATTCTAGTCAGATGTGCATCGTGGATGCTTTTTAAAATATTTATAGAGATGCAAATTAAAATGACAATGAAGTATCACCTCACACCTGTCAGAATGGCCGCCATCAACAAAACATCAAACAACAAGTGCTGACAAGGGTGTGGACAAAAGGGGACTCTAGTACATCGCTGGTGGGAATGCAGACTGGTGCAGCCACTATGGAAAACAATATGGTGCTACTTCAAAAAATTAAAAATTGAACTGCCAGTTGACCCAGTGATCCCACTTCTAGGAATATACCCTAAAAAGCCTAAAACACCAATCAGAAAGAATATATGTACCCCCATGTTCATAGCAGCACTATTTACAATAGCTAAGGTCTGGAAACAGCCCAAATGTCCATCAGTAGACGAATGGATAAAAAAGCTGTGGTACATAAACACAATGGAGTACTATGCAGCAGTAAGAAAGATCTCTTATCCTTTGAGACAACATGGAGGGACCTGGAAAGTATTATCCTAAGTGAAACAAGCCACATAAAGAAAGGCAAGTATCACATGATCTCACTTATTTGTGGAATATAATGAACATAACAGTCTGAGGAATGGGGTAGTCCCAGAGACGTGGAAGTGGGGTACAGACTGACAATCCCCAGAAGAGGGGGTTAGGGGGAGATAAACCACAGAACTTATATGCATGTATGCATGAACAATGGACATGGACAACAAAGCTGGGACAGGGCAGGGAGGGAGGGGGAGGGAGGTATCAGTGGGGGTAAAAAGGAGAAACATCTGTAACAAAAATAAATTAATTAAAAAAATAAAAAATAAATCTTCTTTATATTTTGGGGTACTTTTCTACAATAAACATATTCTACTTCCATAGATATCCAATTCTTTCAGAAGGATAAGTTCACTTCTTCAACACTTAAGCCTATGCCAATGACATGAGGGTTCTCATATTTAAAAGTTCCTCAATTATAGTGTTTAAAGGCTAGAGGCAAATACAGGTTAATAAATAAGAGAAGAAGCCAGTCCTGTCACACTAGGTCCCTTCATGGAATGGAACAGGGGTTGTTCCCTGAAGGCCTCTGTCCTGACTATTAATCACAGCCATAAACCCTAACTCCCAAATGGACACACATGGTCTTACGTCTTAATAACAACTATATCCTCTAAATTTCAACCACATAAAAATCACACAATTTTCCCGGCTGGTGTGGCTCAATGGTTGAGTGTTGACCCATGCAGCAAGAAGTCACTGGTTTGATTCCCGGTCAGGGTACATGCCCAGGTTGTGGGCCTGATCCCCAGTGGGGGTCGTGCAGGAGGCGGCCAATCGATGTTCTCTCTCAGTGATATTTCTCTCTCTCTCACTCTACCTTCCTCTCTCTCTAAAATCAATAAAGAAATATTATCTTTTTAAAATCACACAATTTATTTAGCCAAAGGATACTTCTAAATAGTTCCATGTCATCCCAAAAAGAACTCTCTATATGATATTCTGAATGAAGGCACCGGAAAGTTTTAACACTCTTCTAACTATGGTTTCTTTAAGCACAGACCTCTGCTCTAGCCCATACCTCAACACCTAAAACAGTACTTGCACAAAGGCCAAATTTAAATGTGATAATTCTTTAACATTAGATGTGTAAAGCCATAGTCTTACTTGGGCTCCATCATAGCTGCTTTCCGGAGACTCATGATGAACCTTCCATGATGGAAAGCTCGTCCGCTCCGCACCTGATTGTCTTCTGACAGAGGGTAAGGAACCTGAACGTTTGATTTGCTTTCGCTGTCATGAATGATATAGCCATTTATAACTTGGGCATCAATACCTTCCACTGTATCTGCAAAACAATTCCATTTAAAAAAAATCAATTTGTTAATATGCCCAGAATTATACCAGGCGAAGAGGACATGGAGGCATGGAAAGTCTCCGTCTTCAATAAGGTATGATACCATTTAGAGAAATGAACAGTAATATAACTATTTCAGAAATTTTAATGTTTCTGGAAGATTATAATCTCAGCAAATTTACAGTATCACAAAAAATTAATATTTATATATAAAATTTACACATTAAAATCCATAGGAAAAATATTAAGACTTCAATAATAATTGGCAGAAAGTATACAGGTGATTCACATTAAACAATATGGAAACATTGAACAAATCAGAAAAAATGTTCAAAACTTGATTTTCAAAAAATAAATTAAATTAAAACAATAAGACACCAAATCTATCAAAACTTGATGAGATTAGATAAAATTAGTAAATTTATATATTATTGGTTATGCAACAAACGAATAACATCTTAGAAAGTAATTAAAGCAATAATTATTAAGAATCATGAAGTTATCATCTACCGATATAATCTTAGTCTTGAAAATTCATCTAAGATGAATTTTTTAATAATTTTTTATTTATAATAATTTTTAAAGTTACACATAAGAATAGGTTCATTACAGTGTTATCTCTAATAAAAAAAAATCTAAAAATAACCTAAATATTAATGTAAGTTAGAAAGATAAGGTACATTATATAGAGTATCAACTGAGAAAATGCTATGCATAAGCTTACAATTATAAAAAAGAATGGTTAACAGTTGTAAAAATATGCTTATGTTAAGTGAAAAAGTGGACTTTAACAGGTATATTAATATTCTCACATGTTTAAATACATTAAAATACAGTATATTAAAGATAAAGTACATTAAAATAATTTTATTTCTGATGAAAGAAAAATTTTGATCACACATTTATGCCAAGATCACAATAAATTAGTTTTCTGATGTGGGGGGAGAGGGGGAGAAGGGGACAGGGGGAGGGGGAGGGGGAGAGAGAGAGAGAAACATCGACATGAGAAAGACACATCGACTGGTTGCCTTCCACAAGACCCCAGCTGGGGCCGAGGACCAAGCCACAACCAAGGTACGTGTCTCCTTGACTGGAATCAAACCCATGACTCTTTAGTCCAAAGGCTGATGCTCTAACCACTGAGAAAACTGGCCAGGGTCTGATATGCTTTTTTATTACACTTAAAGTGAGTAAAGACACCCTGGATGGTTGGCTCGCAGTTAGAGCATTGGCCTGCAGACCAGAGCGTCCCGGGTTCGGTTCCCTTAAGGGCACGTACCTCCATTGCAGTTCGTCCCCAGCCCCCGTTGGAGTCGTGTGGGTGGCAGCCAGTAAATGTGTCTCTCTCACATCAATGTTTCTCTCTTCCTCCCTCTCTCCCTCCCGCTCTATCTCAGCATGAATGCAAAAATGTCCTTGGGTGAGGACCAAAAAAAAAGTGAGTAAAGTAACTTTTATAAACGAACATAAAACGGAATACCTCTTTACCAGGGATAGGGTAGTCTAAAATGAACAGTGCTTGTTTGTACCACGTAACTCCTAAAAACCAGTATGAACTTACCTTCAAGACCAAGGTCCTTAAGGACATGATAACCACCTGGCTGCAGGTATTCTCCAACGATCCTGTCGGGCTCTTGTAAATCTCTCTCAATCACTGTCACAGTTCTTCCATCTCTGGAGAGCACTGCTGCCAAAGCAGAGCCGAGGACGCCAGACCCCACGATGATAACCTCTGGATCATTCTGAGAAGACACCGATGTAGCGGCAGCTCCTCCTACTAAGGTGGTTTCTGAAACACTGGTTCGTTTTTTGCACTGTTTTTAAAAAAAAAAATAAATTATGTATCCACATTTGTTATCCTTAAGTCATACTGCTACTATATAGACACACTGGACTTTTGCATCTTGGGCAAAAGCGACACCCTAGACATTACCAAACCAAAGGACCATTACGTTTTTAAATCCTGTTTATATATAATAAAACCAACATCAAAATGTTGGAGAAATAAAAATGTATAATATCCCAATAACATTCAGTGTTGTATTTAGAAAATGCTGTGATACAGATATATTTAGAAATTCAAAAAAAAAAAATGTTTATAAGGGGCTTCGAAGACTTATTATAGGGAAAATTCTATCATTAATTACTCAATTCTTCAAACACATGCTGAGCATCTACCAAATGCAAATCACATACAACTTCTATTTTGACTTCATGTTGTAAACTAATTCAGCACCTTTTACATATTTCCACTATTCATCTTTGTTTCTCTTTCTGGACTGTCATCTGAAAAATCTACCTTAATCTAAAATCACTTTTATGTAACAAACTGTCAAATCCTGCCTACCATCTACCAATTAAGAATTATTTAACTCCACAAAATGAACAAAATAACTCATTGTCCCCTGGAACTTGACCTGTTCACAATTTTAGTCTTTAACATATAAAAACATGTTTAATTCATCCCTTCTTTTCTCCCCATTCTGATTCTCTAAGAGAGCCTGGTCAGTGATGTCAAGTTGGTCCTTCAATTTATAAGTAAGGACAAATGTTAAACCTGTCACTAATTGGGCTGACAGTAAAAACTTGAACTTGGAACATAAAAAGATAAAAAAGTCCTGTCTTGAGATTTATGCTTACTGAGAATAACAGTGACTGTGTTGGGTTTTTAATGAACAATTCAATGTTGTAATCAGTAATTTTTTTTTTTGGTATGTGGACTCACAAATATGAATACATTTCAGATACAGGATTGCAAGGAACCATCTTCCTTTAGTTTTCTGACCTTAAAGATTAAGATACGACTAACTGTCTTTTTGAAGTGGTTTTAATAAAAGAGACCTCAAGCAGAAAGGAAGGATATAAACCCTAAAATCCTTTAGAACTTTAATTCTCTGTAATTCTAATATTCATCCAGTCTTCCTATATTTCTATAATGGACTGGAGCCTTGTCCATTCCATTGTTTTTAAATCATTTCTCTTGGAGAAATGACCTTTTTGTCCTTTACCAAGAGAAGACAATAGTCTAGTCTTCCTATCAGCAAGTATTTCTCAATGGCCAGAATGACTATATTTAAATTCTTGTTCTGAGAGCAAGCTCCTTTTGTCACATTAGCCATTTTTTATTAGTTTTTTTCTTCTGAAGTTTTTCCCTGTTAAACACACACACACAGTCCTGGAACTGGGAACCCTAGATGATGTCAGAACCTGGTCAGGAGAGGAAGCACTAATGGGAACTTGGTACTCAATAAAAGCAGAAAGCCTGAGACATTCACAAAGTGGAACCAATACAGACTACTGCTAACCCAATGCTCCTACTCCAAGATTTGTAAACACAGCAGGATAGGGTGTCATTCCAGCCACCTGGACAAGTGCTCAGTGACTCTGAGGGTATCTCAGACAACAATATCCAAGACATCAACCTGAGAATCAGTTCCCCCTCCCTCCTTTCCTATTCCTCCAGCCCACACCCACCATACCACTGAACTTAGCACTACTCAAAAGGCTCCTTAACAGATGTATACTACCGTTAGACTAACTTCAATAGCTACTATTTTTTAGACAGTTATGGATCAAGCAATAAATCATTTAATTCCCTAACTACCAGTAAGGCTGCTGGCGTCCCCATCTAACAGAAGTGATAACTGATTCTTACAGAAACTAAGCCCTTTGCCAAAGGTTCTCACAACCAAAAGTGGGGGAACAAAACTTCTAAACCAACTCCCTCTCTTCAGTAAGCCTTGCTAATCTGTAGTGGATGTAGTAAAATAATGCAGATCCAGAACCCTGACTCTGTAGGCCACACATTCACCCTAACTCCAAGTCACCATCAACCCCCACTTGGTCTACTGCTGTCGTCTCTTACCTGATATCCTGGCTTCCATTCTGGTCTCCCTACCATCTATTCTCCACACAGCAATAGGAATGTTCTTTTTAAAAAATAAAAACCAAATACCGTTACTTCCATGCTTACAATCCTCCAGTACTCTTGGGGAAAAGTCCAAACACCCATGGCCCACAGGCCCTAAATGTTCTGGCTTCAACAACTGTCCTCTGCTGCTTTTACAAGATCATAAATAACTTCACCCGCATTTGAAGTCCCAGCTATTAGATCTGGAAACATGATTGCACTGTGAAAATTACCCATTCACCTTCTCAGGACATCACTACACTGACTTCCTCAGGGCTCCACTGATGGGAAAATGGGAGGGCATTCTGCCCAGGACGAGAGAATGCTGAGCAGTTTTACTCTGCCACTATCCCAGCCAGCTGTCATTTCTGGACAGTGAGGGAGGGCTCACCTGCAGCAGGTTTTCTTCTTTCCAGGTACAAATACCATCCTTACCCAAGGATTTAAATAAAACATTTTCTTTTCCATTACAGAGAGTGAGTCTGTCCTCCTTCAAAATGAAATTCTAACATTTCATTTCACCCTTCATAATCAAATCCATTTCACTGAGCCTTGGCTCAACCGATACTAAATGAAACAAATGTTTTCAAATCATGCCAAGGAACAGTCAAAACCTTTAAAAAAAAATTAAATGAGGATTCATACCTGGAGAACCTAAGCTGCTGCCTTTTGCCCTTTACAGGAGGAAATTGACATTTGAATGAACCCCAATCCTAATTTTAAAATAAGACACGAATGCACCTGACCACTTGGAATTCAACCTACCTTCCTACACTCCACTTGCTCTTTCTTTTCTGTCCCTGGAGGGGATTTAGCCCAGAAGAAGCCGATGAAAGGCAAGGCGGACAGGATCTCCGAGAAGACCGCGAGCTGGGCCCCGCTCTGCTGGCGCCTCGGGAGGGCCCCGCTCCGGGAGCGACAGCGGTAGGACAGCACCAGGCCCAGCGACAGGAACACCAGCACGCACAGCAGGAGTTCCTTGTTGGCAAAAGTGACGAAGTCCCCGCATTTCTTATAGAAATACGTGAAAGTGGCAAGGCCAAGAAAAGCCCACATGGTTCCAAGGCTCCTTTGGAGGCACCGGTCCACTCTGAGATCTTCTTTTTATCCGTGCAGGGTTTTGATGATCAGAGAGTCTCCCCAAAATGTGTTCCCAAATGAGCACCAGGAACCGGCCCAACTCCAGTTAACACCGTCACAGGATTACAGTTCAAATCAGACTAACTTAGAAAATCATAAAGTTGGTATAAAAGTATCTGAAGGGGGGCGATTGGGGCTTAGAAAGCAGTACTTCAAAATCCCCAGCTCCAACAGGTCCCAAGTTAGTCTCCCCCCTCTTTCGGGCAATCCATTTAGTTTCTTTTTTCTTTTCTAAGATAGGTTCTCGTGGAGGTAGTTGCAGGTGATGGTTTATATCTGATGCTGGCTTATCGTGCTGTAATCTGTTCTTTCTCAACAGCAGCAGGTGCCCTTTCAGAAAAAGATGGAGAGAAAAAAAAAATCAAAGAAATATCGGCGCCGCGAAAAATGGGGCCCCCCGCCTTTTCCGCCGCGAGGGCCGAGCCAGCGCGGAGCCGGAGTCCGCGCCCCAACCAGGTGGCCGCGCCGCCCACGCCCACGGGCGAACCGGCCGGGCTGGCCGCCTCCCCACCCACAGATGGACCTGGACTCAAGGCTGGGGCTCCCCGGCAGAGAAGCGCAGCCTGTACCTCGAGACTCGCTCCTGGGCGGCGGCTCTCGACTCACCTGCCCACAACCTCCCAGTCCGCGACCTGGCTGCCCCGCGGGTGAATGGAGGTCTCCAGGGGCGGCGGCGGCTCCCTACGGCGTCCTCACCAGCATCCCTCGCGCGGCGCTCACGCAGTCACCAGAGTAACCACAGCGCGCTCTGCGTCTGTCGTGGGGATCGGCGCGCCCCAGCAGCCCGAGAGCTCGATCCAGGCGAGGGACCGGGGGCGGGGTTCCTGGGAGCGAGCCCGTCCCGCCTGCGCGCCTTCTGCGAAGGCCCCGCCCACCTTCGCCGCCGTCCAATGAGGACGCGCACGCGGGATAGGCCGAGGTGGCGCTATGCCGCGTCTGGCCAATCGCCGGCGGCACGACCCTCACGGTGACGCCGGGAGAGGCGCTGGGCTGTTGTTTCGTGATGTGGGGGATCTGGCTGGCCGCCCGGTGGCCCTTCGGTAAGGCACGGGCTGCTTCCGGAGGGCGTGGGGCCGTGCCCTGGGTCCCACGGTCAAATTACCTACCGCATCCCGGCCGCTGGGGTCCTGTCCGGGGAGAGGTGGCGTCGGTTCCGAGGGGATCCCTGCCTGGAGACCTCCGGTCCCGAGTTCGAAGGTTTCCCGTCATTTCGCGAGCATTTACTGAGCGCTTACTGCCTGCCGCCCCGGGGGTTACAGAGACGAATCAGATCCCTCCTTCGAGCTGAGTGTGGAAGAACGAGTGGGCAGGCCTTTGCCAGAGGACATGTCAGGTGTTCCCTTCCTTCACCCCAGTTGTCAGCTAAGACTTGTCACTGTGCTCAGGCTAAAGATTCACTGATGCGCCTGTCCCCTATCCCCCCAAAATCAAACACGCGTGGAGGAGGGCGTGGGGGTGTTTCATTTGGGGGAAAGTATGTTCAGAGACTGAGATTGGCTTTTCTAGATATTTATGTAATACAGGTTCACTGTGGGAATTACACTTTATAATAGTAATATTTCACAAGCCAATAGCAAATAGGATAATGTTTCTTCATAAACTGATAAATAACATTACAAACCAGTGATAGAATAATTACACTGTTGTTCCAGGAAAGGGGAGATGAGAGTACACATTTAGTGATGTAATAACTTTCTACAAGTTTGTTCTCTGTAGAGTCAGTTCTTCCAACTAAAAGCTGGATATCAGCTGCCGCCTTAGGTCCCTCTCCATACTGGGGCAGATAGCCAGCAGGCCATGGCACCGGTGTTGGCAGGCAAGGTGAGCTGCTCCTAAGGTTATTCCAGGGACCTGTGTACAGTATACACCACTGCCTACAAAGAATATAGCCTCGCCAAGGCAGGAATAGATGTCCCTTCCTTCCTGACACTGCTGCCCAGTTTAACACCACTGCCACAGCCAACCAAGGGTAGCCTGACCACGGCCTGGATGGAGCAAGTGTCTCAAGATCTTTAGAGAGCTATTTAGATAGAGCATCAAAGAGTAGCTTTGCCAGACCAGACACTCTCAGTAAGTCCTCACAAATTCTTGGTATTTAAAGTTTAAATATCCATCACATTTGGAGTATCTGAGTGGCCCAGTGTAATCATAAAGGTCCTTACAAGTGAAAGAAGGAGTCAGAAGAGTGAGGACCAGAGAGACAGCCCCGTCACAAGAATTGGGCCTGACAATGCTGGCTTCGAAGTTACAGGAAGAGGGCCAGGAGCCAAGGAATGTATGAGGACTCTACAAGCTTAAAAAGGCTCCCATAGGGTCTAAAGAAGAATGCAGCTCTGTTGACTCCTAGATTTTAGCCCAGTGAGGCCCACTTTGGACTTCTAAACCTCTAGAACTGTAAGATAATAAACTTAATGTTGTTTTAAATCACACACACACACACACACAAAACTGTATCATGATTATCTCTCCTCCACATGTTCTTATAGATAAGGCCCCAGTGATGCCAATTAACAGGTATCAATGACATCCTGGCACAGCTTCCTGAATTTAAATAAAATTCACCCATGAGCCCTGGCCGGTTTGGCTCAGCGGTTAGAGCGTCGGCCTGCGGTCCTGAGAGACCCGGGTTTGGTTCCCGCTAAGGGCACGTACCTCGGTTGCAGTTTGTCCCCGGCCCTGGTCGGTTGTGCGGTTGTGCGGGTGGCAGCCACTCGATGTGTTCCTTTCACATCGATGTTTCTCTCTCTCTCTCTGTTCCTCTCTCTCCCTCTGTTCCTCTCTCTCCCTCCCACTCTACCTGAACAAAAAATGGAAAAATGTCCTCGGGTGAGGATAAAAAAAAAAAAAAAAAATTCACCCATGAGCCAAAGCCACTTCACTTAAGTCATAAGCAAGTTCTTTTGAAATCATAACAAACCAATGCACAACAGGTGCACAGAAGTAAAACAAAGAGAGGTGTCATAAGTGCCCTGAGATAGTGAATGAGCAAGGAACCATGGAAACAGGAGACAGGCCTTTCCTGGCCTGGAGGGACTCAGATAAGGCCTCCAGGGAAGTTCAACATGAATTGTGTTCTGGACAAGCATGGTAACAAGAACAGAAGTGTGCAAGAGTCAGGGTGAGAGATGGCCCTTGTTATGAAAGGGCAAAACTTCCCTAGAATTCACTGAGACCTTTGCTCACCCACTATTTAACCCTGGACAGTCTACTTTTTTTTTTTTTTTTTTTTGGTGGTACCTGCCCCTAGTGGGAACCGAACCTGGACTCTCTGGTTCACAGGCCAACGCTCCAACCGCTGAGCCAAACCGGCCAGCGCTGCTTTAAACTCTATGCCTTCTGTACAAATCCTTTCTGCCATTTGGAGCACAGCTGAACTGTCTCCTTGTTTTTCCACCAAGTCTTCTTGTTTGAATCTCTTACTGGACAATTATGATTAAGTCTCATCATCCCACTAGTCCCCATGTTCCGTGAGGAAAGGATTTGTGTCTGATAAGTCAGAATCACCCACAGCACCTACCTCAATGCTTTGCACTTAATTTATCCTCCATAAAAATGTAATGAATGAATAATGAATGACAATGGTGTAGTAGGAAGACTGGGTGACTAGAATCAGGAGACCTACATTCTGGCTGCCATTAACCAGCTCTGTGACCTTGGACAAGTCAAAAGTCAGTCACCCTCTAGGGAGAGAGGTATATATCTTCACAAAACCTAAAGTTCCTTGCAATCCTGTACCAGATCCTTTGCTAAGTTTAAGGAAGCATGGAACAAATCATTTTGTTTTTCTTTTTAATCTTTATTATCAAACATATTACATATGTCCCTCCTTTTCCCCCCAATTAACCCCCCTCATCCCTGGTTCCATCCCCCTCCTACTTTCCCCAAACTATTGTCTGTATCCATTGGTTATGCATATATGAATATAAGTTCTTTGGTTTGTCTCTTCCCAACCCTCCCACCCCCCTTCCCTCTGAGGTTTGTCAGTCTGTTCCCTACTTCCATGTCTCTGGATCTATTTTGATCAACAGCTTATTTTGTTCATGATATTCCACATATAAGTGAGATTATGTGATACTTGACATTCTCTGACTGGCTTATTTTGCTAAGGGTAATACTCTCCAGGTCCCTCCATGTCATCTCAAAGGGTAACATATCTTTCTTTCTTATAGCTGCATAGTATTCCGTTATATAGATATACCACCGCTTTTTTATCCATTCATCTACTGATGGACACTTGAGCTGTTTCCAAATCTTAGCTATTATAAATAGTGCTATTATGAACACAGGGTTGCATATATTCTTTTGGTGTTTCAGGCTTCTTAGGATATATCCTATAAGTGGGATCACTGGGTCACATGGCAGTTCTATTTTTAACTTTTTGAGGAAACACCATATTGTTTTTATAGTGGCTGTACCAGTCTGCATTCCCACCAGCAGTGTACTAGAGTCCCCTTTTCTCCACATCCTCACCAGCATTTGTTGTTTGAAGATTTGTTAATGTCAGCCATTCTGGCAGGTGTGAGGGGATATCTCATAGTTGTTTTAATTTGCGCCTCTCTAATGATTAGTGACATTGAGCATTTTTTCAATGGTCTCTTGGCCATTTGTACATCCTGTTTGAAGTGTCTATTCAGGTCCTCTGCCCACTTTCTAATGGGATTGTTTGTCTTCCTTTTGTTGAGTTGTATGAGTACTCTATATATTTTGGATATTAACCCCTTAACTGATGTATCATTGGCAAATATGTTCTCCCATGGGTTCCCTTTCCATTTTGATGCTAGTTTCTTTTGCCATGCAGAAACTGTTTAGTTTGATGTAGTCTCGTTCATTAATTTTTTCCTTTGATTCCTTGTCCTAGGTGATATATCAGTGAGAATTCTGCTACATGTGATGTCTGAGGTTTTGCTGCCTACATTTTCTTCTAGGATTTTTATGGTTTCACAACTTACATTTAAGCCTTTTATCCATTTTGAGTTTATTCTTGTATAAGGTGTAAGTTGGTTTAGTTTCTTTTCTTTTTCTTTTTTCGCATGTACCTGTCCAATTTTCCCAATACCATTTATTAAAAAGACTGTATTTTCTCCATTGTATACTCTTGCCTCATTTGTCAAATATTAATTGCACATAATGTCTTGGGTCAATTTCTGGGCCCTCTATTCTGTTCCATTGATGCCTGTTCTTGTGCCAGTACCAGGCTGTTTTGATTACAATGGCTTTGTAGTATAACCTGATATCCAGTATTGCGATCCCTGCAACTTTTTTCTTCTTTTTCAATATTGCTGTGGCTATAAGTGGTCTTTTTTGGTTAGGTATAAACTTTTGGAGTATTTGTTCTACATCTATGAAATATGATGTTGGTACTTTTTAGGGATTGCATTGAATCTATATATTCCTTTGGGTATTATGACCATTTTAATGATGTTGATTCTTCCAATCCATGAACATGGTTTATGCTTCCAATTTTATATATCTTCCTCTATTTCCTTTTTGAATGTCCTGCAGTTGTCTGAGAACATGTCTTTTACCACCTGGGTTAAATTTATTCCTAGGTATCTTTATTTTTTTTGTTGTAATGGTAAATGGGATTGTTTTAGTTTCCCTTTCTGAGTGTTCATTATTGGTGTATAAGAATGCCATCAATTTCTGAATGTTAATTTTGTATCCTGCTACTTTGTCAAATTACTTTATTAAAGCTAGTAGATTTTTGATGGCTTCTTTAGGATTTCTGTGTACAATATATTATCATCTGCAAATAATGACAGTTTCA